CTTTGAAAAAATTATTTAAAAAATCTACGCCTTATATATGAAAAAATTATTTTAAAAAATCCACGCCTTATATATGTCCCCGAAAAAAAAATTTTTAAAAAATCTACGCCTTATATATGTCCCTTATATATGTCGAAAAAATTATTTAAAAAATCTACGCCTTATATATGTCCCCGAAAAAATAATTTAAAAAATCTACGCCTTATATATGTCCCCGAAAAAATAATTTAAAAAATCTACGCCTTATATATGTCCCCGAAAAAATTATTTTAAAAAATCCACGCCTTATATATGTCCCCGAAAAAATTATTTAAAAAATCTACGCCTTATATATGTCCCCGAAAAAATTATTTAAAAAATCTACGCCTTATATATGTCCCCGAAAAAATTATTTAAAAAATCTACGCCTTATATATGTCCCCGAAAAAATTATTTAAAAAATCTACGCCTTATATATGTCCCCGAAAAAATTATTTAAAAAATCTACGCCTTATATATGTCCCCGAAAAAATTATTTAAAAAATCTACGCCTTATATATGTCCCCGAAAAAATTATTTAAAAAATCTACGCCTTATATATGTCCCCGAAAAAATTATTTAAAAAATCTACGCCTTATATATGTCCCCGAAAAAATTATTTAAAAAATCTACGCCTTATATATGTCCCCGAAAAAATTATTTAAAAAATCTACGCCTTATATATGTCCCCGAAAAAATTATTTAAAAAATCTACGCCTTATATATGTCCTTATGGTAGCCTTGAAAAAATATTCTTTAAAAAATCTACGCCTTATATATGTCCCCGAAAAAATTATTTAAAAAATCTACGCCTTATATATGTCCCCGAAAAAATTATTTAAAAAATCTACGCCTTATATATGTCCCCGAAAAAATTATTTAAAAAATCTACGCCTTATATATGTCCCCGAAAAAATTATTTAAAAAATCTACGCCTTATATATGTCCCCGAAAAAATTATTTAAAAAATCTACGCCTTATATATGTCCCCGAAAAAATTATTTAAAAAATCTACGCCTTATATATGTCCCCGAAAAAATTCGTGGAATCATCTACGCCTTATATATGTCCCCGAAAAAATTCGTGGAATCATCTACGCCTTATATATGTCCCCGAAAAAATAATTTATTGTATTCCAACAACGTCATGGCACCATATTTTGTTGTTGTTGTTGCTTTCCTCCTTAAAGTGCTAAAAGGAAAACAATGTTAAGGTATTTTTGTGTTCCTTATTGTTATTGCTGTTATTTACTTATGTCCTTGCAGGAGGACATATGAAACTTTTGAGGGGATGAGAGAGAGGCAGAGTATGTTGGCCAAGTACAAAAAATGTCATTATGATAGGCTCGGAACGAAAAAAACGACAATAAAACAACAACAGTCCAACAACCCATTAACTGAAGAATGTGGTTGGTGGAATATGGAGGGAGGGGTAGAAGATGGTCGGGGTTGTGGAGGAACAGAAAAGGGGTTAAGGAAATAAAAGCATTTATTTTAAGTAATAATATTATGGCTTTAATAAAAGAACATAAAAATTAAATAGAAAAAAATGGGAAAATATTTTATGGTCCTAAAATGGGGACCTTGAAATGAGTCAAAGTCGCAAAAATTAGGGGACCATCAGCTTTACACACAACTAACGAAACTCGACCCTAAAGAAAGCCCAAGATGTACAAATCAGGGGAATCCAACTTCAAACTTCCGAAACTCATAGACCCTTAACAAAGGATCATAAAAAGGGCCAAATTCGTAAAAATCGGCAGACCTTCAGCTTAACTTAAAATTTCTGAAACTCCTTAATATATTTCAAACAAATCGTTATTCGATATTTTTAAAATAAATTATTATTGAATATTTCATTTAAAAAATCTATACAAAATGTTTTCATAATAACCACAATTTTTTCGATTTTTATTATACCTCAGGAAAAAACCATTTCACAATTTCGGATTTTTATGACCTCTCACAAAAAAACTCAACCATTTTCCTTATCGACAAAATATTTATTCTCCACTAACAAATTAGACAAATCATCCCAGCAAAATTGATCAATTTATGTCCTGCTGATACTCTCACACCAGGCTCCACCATTTCAATGCGATTCACAGTAGACATTAAAACTTTCCACACCATCGACTATTAGGCCAAACGAACTGACAGGCGAAACGAGGCAGACAGATATTAGAGATTTTTTTTTTTTTTTTGCAAAAAAAAAAAAACGACGCAACGAAGAGACAGCATCTTAAATTTAAAAACTGTCCATATATTATCGAACAACCATAAATTATAAAATCACCCAAAATGCATGTTGGCTAGGCTATGATGGCCTCCACTTCACTATTGCAAAGCAGTTAGGCACTTAGCCAGCCAGCATGTATTAAAGGCTCTTCTTCTGCCTAACTGTCTGCATGTGTTGGTCATGGACAACATCTTCAATAGATTTTCGTTTGGAGTCATGGAGTTTTAAGATTTTTTTTCTCACTCACCTTCCCATGGACAACCCACAATTTCGGCTCTCAGACACACGGTACGATCATACTGGCCATATGGATAAATGCGTATTTTTGATGCGAATATAATCGGTTGTAATGTGTTTTCCACTTCACTGTAGGTATTGATGTTGCCGGGTAAAATCTGTAAAGGAAAAAAAATGGGGAAAAATAGAGAGGTTACATTTTGTAATGGATTTTAACATTTTCTTCTTCTTCTTTTCGGTTGTAAAAATGTCCAATAAATTCGAATCGAAAAAAAATCTATTTTGTATGACCCCGAAAAATTTTTTTTAAAAATCTACGCCTTTTGTATGACCCCGAAAAAAATGTATTTAAAAAATCTACGCCTTTTGTATGACCCCGAAAAAATTATTTCTACGCCTTTTGTATGAAAAAAAATTGTTTTAAAAATCTACGCCTTTTGTATGACCCCGAAAAAATTATTTAAAAAATATTACGCCTTTTGTATTACCCCGAAAACATTAGTTAAAAAATCTACGCCTTTTGTATGACCCCGAAAAAATTATTTAAAAAATCTACGCCTTTTGTATGACCCCGAAAAAATTATTTAAAAAATCTACGCCTTTTGTATGACCCCGAAAAAATTATTTAAAAAATCTACGCCTTTTGTATGACCCCGAAAAAATTATTAAAAAAAATCTACGCCTTTTGTATGACCCCGAAAAAATTATTTTAAAAATCTACGCCTTTTGTATGACCCCGAAAAAATTATTAAAAAAAATCTACGCCTTTTGTATGACCCCGAAAAAAATATTTAAAAAAATCTACGCCTTTTGTATGACCCCGAAAAAATTATTAAAAAAAATCTACGCCTTTTGTATGACCCCGAAAGAATTATTTAAAAAATCTACGCCTTTTGTATGACCCCGAAAAAAATTATTTAAAAAATCTACGCCTTTTGTATACCCAAATTTGTTTTTTCCTTACCTCCTTTCCTTGGGTGTTCTTCCAACGCTTCCAGCTGGTGAAACCCGGTCGCCAATATTCCAAAACATAGGCCTCCGTATATTCTTGGCCTTGGCCCTTGCCGAATCTTCCTTGGGTGCGTATCGCTGTTATAACATGCACCGATAATAAATCGACTTCCAGATATTCCTTTAAAGCTTTGGAGACCATATGTTTGGGACACCAGGCACCGCCATTATTATCGGTTTTCAGTCTGTAAAGAAAAATCGAACAAAGAAGAAAGGGATTAAAAAAAAATTCATGAAAAAAAATCCAAATAATGATTCAAAGATAACTCATCACTAAAAATTTTATAAAAAAAAAAAACTTTTGCCAATATTCTCCCCTTTGTGAAGACATTTCGCCAAGCCAGCCAATCATTTGGCCTGCCATGGCTTGGAATGCCTTGGTGAGCTCACACAGATTCCTTATATAAATTAATTGACATTAAATGACAGGACGGCCCCACATTGAGTTCGTATGCATGCGGCGGCCAGATAGATAGCTTCATACCCCCCAATAGTTAGTAGCTGAAATTGGTGGCTAACTGACTGACTCGAATTGAATGAATGGATGGCGTGTTGTTGCAAATGTTGTCAATAACGAATGAAATTGTAGCCAGGATCCGAATGCCACGAACCATCACCACATGAAAAACCACCTTCTCGTGGTGGTATTTTTTTATTCGTCTCTTAGTTTGCTTTCAAACGTTGACGATATCACCAAACGTCATCGTCTGCAGAAAATAAAATTAATGTGCTATTTTTGTTGGAGTTTTTACTGTCATTTGGTGTGTGAGTGTGTGTGTATGTGTGTGTAACTTTGTGCATGAAAATGTAAAAATCACAAAACGTTAAAATGCCTTAAATGGAACGTGAATCAGGGGACATTTTCCGAAGAGGTGAGGCGATATAATTTAGGGAAAAAAATTATTTAAAAAATCTACGCCTTGTGTATGTCCCCGAAAAACTAATTTAAACCAGTAAGAAAATTAGTAAAGTCGGACGGGGACGACTATATGATACCCTTCACCACTTTGGGTATATTAAACAGATGAATCCTAACAAACGTTGCATTTTTAATGGACCAGTAAAAGAAAATTGGATCAATAAACATGTCATTCTTCAACCGATACTAAATTTTTCATTTGGTCAGATATAGAAGCTATATCTAAATCTGAACCGATTTTCAGGAAACTTAACCCTCATCATTCTAGACCAAATTTAATACAATGTGCCAAATTTCGTGCAAATCGAAAGATATATAGGGACTTTGCTAAAGCACTTACCTTAAATCGGATGAAACTATATATGGGAGCTATATCTAAATCTGAACCGATTTTCACGAAACTTCGCACACATCATTCTGGACCTCATTCAGTACATTATGCCAAATTTCGTGCAAATCGAAGGATATATAGGGACTTTGGTGCACCATTTACATTAAATCGGACGAAAATATATATGGGAGCTATATCTAAATCTGAGCCTATTTTCACGAAACTTCGCACACATCATTCTAGACCTAATTCATTACCCTGTGCCGAATTTCGTGCAAATCAAATGATTTTCAGGGACTTTGGTGCACCATTTACATAAAATCGGATGAAAATATACATGGGAGCTATATCTAAATCAGGACCGATTTTCAGGAAACATAACACACATCATTCTAGACCTAATTCATCACGGTGTGCCAAATTTCGTGCAAATAGAAAGATATATAGGGACTTTGGTACCCCATTTACCTTAAATCGGACGAAAATATATATGGGAACTATATCCAAATCTGAATCTGAAATCTGAACGAATGATATATAGGGTCTTTGATGCACCAATTACCTTAAATCGGATGAAAATATACATTGGAGCTATATCTAAATCAGGACCGATTTTCAGGAAACATAACACACATCATTCTAGACCTAATTTAATAGGCTATACCAAATTTCGTGCAAATCGAAAGATATACAGGGACTTTGGTGAACCATTTACATAAAATCGGGCGAAACTATATATGGGAGCTATATCTAAATCTAAACCGATTTTCTCGAAACTTAACACACATCACTCTAGACTTAATTTAGTTCGCTATACAAAATTTCGTGCAAATCTAAAGATATATAGGGACTTTGGGGCACCATTTACATGAAATCGGACGAAACTATAAGTGGGAGCTATATAGAAATCTGGACTGATTTTCATAAAACTTGGCAGACATCCTTCTAGGCTCACTTAAGTACGTTATGCCAAATTTCGTGCAAATCGAAAGATATATAGGGACTTTGGGGTACCATTTACATGAAATCGGACGAAACTATATATGGGAGCTATATCTAAATCTGGCCGATTTCCACGAAACTTTACATACATCATTCTAGACCTAAATGAATAGGCTGTTCCAAATTTCGTGCAAATCGAAAGATATATAGGGACTTTGGGGCACCATTTACATGAAATCGGACGAAACTATATGGGAGATATATCTAAATCAGGACCGATTTTCATGAAACTTGGCAGACATCATTCTAGACTCAATTCAATACGTTATGCCAAATTTCGTGCAAATCGAAAGATATATAGGGACTTTGGGGCACCATTTACATGAAATCGGATGAAAGTATATAAGGGAGCTATATCTAAATCTGAACCTATTTTCACGAAACTTGGTAGACATCATTCTAGACATAACTCAATATGCTGTGCGAAATTTCGTGCAAATCGAAATATTTTTAGAGGCTTTAGTGCCCCTTTTACATTAAATCGGACGAAAATATATATGAGAGCTATATCTAAATCTGAACTGATTTTCTCGAAACTTGACACACATCATTCTAGCCTCAATTCAGCACAATATGCCAAATTTGGTGCAAATCACAAGATATATAGGGATTTTGGTGCACCATTCTCATGAAATCTGACGAAACTATATATGGGAGCTATATCTAAACCTGGACCGATTTTCTCGAAACTTGGCAGACATCGCTCTAAGATAAATTCAGTACGTTATGCCAAATTTGGTGCAACTCGAAAGAAATATAGGGACTTTGGTGCACCATTCACATGAAATCGGACGAAACTATATATGGGAGCTATATCTAAATCTGGACCGATTTTCTCGAAACTTGGCAGACATCATTCTAAGCTCAATTCAGTACGTTAATATTCAAAAGAATTTTTGAATGATTTTTTCTAAATTTTGAAAATTTTCCTCATTCCGTTTGCGCCGACCCTCCTTCCTTCCATCCATATTCCAAGCAATATTGTCATCATCGTCATCCACCGCTTCGTCATGTTATGGCCATGATGATGTCCCACAAAGCCACCGTCCGCTATGTAAAAGTCTTAACCAAATGATTTTGAATTTTTTACAACGTCTTGGAGGTTTTTCTTCTTCTTCTTCATTTTATATGCTGTCTTGGCCATTTGATATTGATATTGTCTTTATTGTCATGTTGTTGTTGTTGTTGGCGATACATTACCATTTGGACATTTAAGTGGCGTTTTCAAGATTTGTTCATTCCTACTTGATTTGTATATTTCTTGTGGCCAATATAACGACTAAATATTGTTGTTGTAGTAGATTTGTTGTTGTTGTTCTTGAGATTTCTGATTCTTAATGGAAATTGCGTTTATGTCTTTAAAAAAACATTTGTGCAGGGTGTATTAAACGTCAATACTTGGTCATGTTATCATTTTTTTGTTCGAAATGAACAACCAGCAAGCGCGATGGAGGAGGGGGAGGGGGAGGAGGTACCCCCCTATGACTATGAAAAACGCTTCTGGTAACTTGTTAAGTTCGTTAAGGTTGCGATGTTGGAGTTTCAATTTTGTTGATTTCTTTCTTCCTCTTAATGTTAACGTCTTTGCAGAGTTTGTCGTTTGGTCGGTACGGTCCCCCCATGGCTGAAATGATGTCTTTTTCCAGCTGATGGTAATGGATCTGTAGAAGGAAAAGGGAATTTGTTGCCACTTTTTTTGGACAAACTCAGCAGGATGTTGTCTTGGTAATTAAGGATTAATATTCGTTTTTTTGCGGTATCTCTGTCCCGTCGTTTTCTTCATTGGCGGGGTGTTTAAGTTATGAGAGGTTGATTTTTTTCTTTTTTTGATTGCCGCTCAACTTCTTATTTTTTTGCTGCTTGGCAGTTAAGATGTTGTCTGCTTTAAGCATTTATTGATATGTTAATTTTTTGTTGTTATTGTTCTGATTGTTGGTCAATCCTGGTGGGGAGCTGTGGTCCTTTTTGGCGTAATGTTTTTAATGATTTTTTTTTTTTTTTTTGTTGAAGTGATAGCCCTTGATGTGAAAATAATGAGAAGGAGTGAGGAAGAAGACAGGGAGAAAGAGGCGTGTGGTCATTTGCAATCATAGGAAATTAATTGGAGGGGATTTATGGATGCTTTAAATGAGATATCAAGCAAGTTTTTTGGGAGAGTTAGTTTTTTTTTCAATAAATAAATAATTATTTTAGGCATCTACCCAAGGCGTAGATTTTTTTAAACAATTTTTTAGGCATCTGCCCAAGGCCTAGATTTTTTTAGACAATTTTTTAGGCATCTACCCAAAGCGTAGATTTTTTTAAAAATTTTTTTAGGCATCTACCCAAGGCGTAGATTTTTTTAAAACATTTTTTAGGCATCTACCCAAGGCGTAGATTTTTTTTTAACAATTTTTAGGCATCTACCCAAGGCGTAGATTTTTTTAAACAATTTTTTAGGCATCTACCCAAGGCGTAGATTTTTTTCAACAATTTTTTTGGCATCTACCCAAGGCGTAGATTTTTTAAAACAATTTTTTTAGGCATCTACCCAAGGCGTAGATTTTTTTTAACAATTTTGTAGGCATCTTATGATCCGATTTGGATGAAATTTTGCACAGCTCATTTATTTGGCCCAAGGACGAACGCTATTGAAATTGGGAAAAATCGGTTCAGATTTAGATATAGCTTCCACATATATTTTCGTCCGATTTTATGTAAATGGTGCACCAAAGCCCATAAATAGCTTCCGATTTGCACGAAATTTGGCACAGAATACTGAATTAGTTCCAGAACGGTGTGTGCCAAGTTTCGAGAAAATCGGTCCAGATTTAGATATGGCTCCCGTGCATATTTTCGCCCGATTTAAAGTAAATGGTGTACCAAAGTCCCTAAATATCTTTCGATTTGCACGAAATTTGGTACAGCGTAATGAATAAGGTCTAGAATGATGT